ACTATATAGCTGTATTCACAATTCACACTATGTACGTTTGTCAGTTGTGTAGTAACAAATGGGCGTTCTAAAACCGGCATCTATATTTTACGGCAATTTTCACCTTCTAACTCATTCTTGAATGATCTATTATGCTTCTTGACTTGTTAGAAAAACTCATTGGCTTTCTATTATGAATTTCATTTTCCAGTGCTGTCCAAATATTTTGTGAATAGCATTCAAGCCCAAGGCCAAGAGAGTGTCACAACTAGTTATTATTATTCCTTTATTTTGTTGATAAAAATTAAACAGTTAATACAATCACAAATTATACTATTCATACTTTGAAAAAGGTTTTAGAGTTGGGGAATATTTTGAATACATTGTTGTACAGTACTCTGAAGAAAGGTAAAAAAGGAAATGTTCTTATTTACATAAATATTGTTATTAATATAAAAACCAATCATATAGCTTAACATTCAGCTAACTACAAACTGACCAAAATGGACAAATAAAAATTGTGCCCGCCTGACTATATACTGAACTAATGAAGATGAAACCGATAATATCAAGTTTTTTCACCAAATAAAGAGAATATTTGATACTATAATTTAATCAATATTCTGGTTTTGCTTTGAGCAAGTAAAAATCCAAAGTATACATTTTAATACAGAGAATCTAGAAAATTAAGAATTATATTCAACTATTATTCGTAAGGCCAGATATTTATTATCCCTTGTTTCGCGAACCCGCCGGATGAACAGGAGCCGAAAATGAGATAAAATTTTTATTTCAGCGTAATTTCTTGCGCCTGCCGACTTGTAAGTGCAAAAAATTGCTAAAAATTTTTTATTTTTATCTTCATTTTTTTTGCATTTTCCTGGGAGTATCATGATCAAAGTACTGAAGTCTCGCACAGATGGAAACAAGGTTATACATGGAATAACATTTTATTTCATTTCTTCTCTCCGATCAATGATCTCACTTACAATTCTTTGAGAATCACACTAATCTAATGGAAAAAAAGAATTAATTTTATTTTTCTTCCGCCCTCCTCAAAAAAATTGCCTTATAAAAACTCGAGAAACAAGGAATAAAAAAAGTCTGGCCTAAAAGTTTGCAAGGGTGTTAAGTATTTATCTGAACTTGCTCCTCTAATTGCGGAATAATTGCAAATCATCAAATGTTGCCTGCAGTCCATTGAAAACATCAAATAAGTCACATAATAGTCCTACATGCCCCCAATGAAACTCTAGTTTCGTTCACATTCAAAACATCAATGAATATTTTAGAGAATTATTTACACACAACCTTCAATCATTTTACCCAGAGGTCACTGTGAAATTGTAAGTCCGTAGCCCTTTGATCTAGAGTGGTATTTGGTATACTCTTCTCAAGTTATCCAGTACACACAACCTTCAATCATTTTACCCAGAGGTCACTGTGAAATTGTAAGCCCGTAGCCCTTTGATCTAGATTGGTATTTGGTATACTCTTCTCAAGTTATCCAGTACACACAACCTTCAATCATTTTACCCAGAGGTCACTGTGAAATTGTAAGTCCAGCCCTTTGATCTAGATTGGTATTTGGTATACTCTTCTCAAGTTATCCAGTACACACAACCTTCAATCATTTTACCCAGAGGTCACTGTGAAATTGTAAGTCCGTAGCCCTTTGATCTAGATTGGTATTTGGTATACTCTTCTCAAGTTATCCAGTACACACAACCTTCAATCATTTTACCCAGAGGTCACTGTGAAATTGTAAGTCCGTAGCCCTTTGATCTAGATTGGTATTTTGTATACTCTTCTCAAGTTATCCAGTAAATCTTGCTTTTCACCTGGTGGGAGGAAGCTTGACTTTGCTGCATTAAAAGTCTGTATAAACAAGTGAAAGATAAAAAACTATGTATTTAATATGCACCAGAAGCAATAAAATGTGTGCGGTTTTCCTGATAAAGCTGCAAATCAGTGAGAAAAAAAATACAATGTCAATTTCGCCTATCATATTTAAAATACCAAAATAAAAATCAATCACCATTCTTAGTTTTTTTGACAAAAGGAGGTATATCCGCCATCTAAATGACCTCATCTAAAAACTATGATTGTGGGTTGAACAACGTTGTGGATAATAAATGTAATTAGAGGTATGTATTCAAAAGTTTACTTTCAATGTCGATTTCTTGCATTAGTTATTTTGAAATATTTAAAAAAAAATATTTTAAATCTTTATTTTAGGTAAGTGAATG